TAAATTCCCATGTATTTCCCGACTTTGCAAAAAGAAAAACAGAACCCAGCAGTCGAAAAAAAAAACTCTCAGAAAAAAAAGGAAAATACGGTACCCAAAAGCAAGAAATCAAAACGGGGCTTTCCTGGGGTTGGTAAGATACAAGCAAAAGAAAGGGTACGGAAGATAGCACAGGGTCAGGAAATGGTTCGTCACAGGACGACATTGATTTTTTTTTATTTTTTTTAAAATAAAAACCCCACCGGTGCTAGGGGTGCTGGCAAGGGCAGGCACTGGTAGCACCTAGGGGGGGCTCCATATATTGGTGGGGAGCAACACCTGTTGGAAAATGGGTCCAGCGCCCCTTGTACAGAATGAAATTGGAGAGAATAAGGAAACGCCTGCCAGCATTGATTGCTCTGGAGTCCAGAGGATTAACTGAGCAGGGGAGTGAACCTCTTCGCCCTATTACAGGCGCCAAATACCTGCTTTTACACCCTATATCCTCCCTCCCCCAGCTATCCTTGCCCCCAGTCATTTGATATACAAAAAATATCCTTTGTAGTTGCTCCCTGCTTCTTCTGCCACTTCTGAATACCTGCGTTAACTATGTGACCCCTCCTCCCTATTTGGACCTTGCTTGGTCCTTCCGGCCTGTGATCCAGGTCAATCAGCTCCGCACCATTTCATGTCCACCATTGCTAGTCGGTGAGGCGGGAAGGGGTCGGAAAAATCCTTGGCTGGTCTCAGCGGAAACTCCTGGCTTACTGTAGTCCAGTCCTTGAAGCACATATGGTAGTCTCTTCTGAATTCCTCCTGGTTACACTCTTGGGTGGGCCTGCCGTCCCATCTGACATAAGCGATCCAGCCCCCATTTTCATTTGATTACTTCCAGTAGGAAGGATGTACCACCCCTCACCCCTGCCTAAGTTAGCCTATTGTAGCTAGTCATTGGTGTGCGTTTGCATTATTTAGTAGCGCTTTGTATGCCGATTTCGTCACTAATTGCTCCTCTCAGTTGTATAGCTGTCCATTTTGCATGTCTGTCCAGAGCAAACTGCAAATGTTGATCCCTGTTGGTGTCTCTAAAACCCCGTAACTTTGGGGTTTCCTTCCTCCAGGAATGTCTGCTGTCTAGGCTTGTGTGTGCTCCTACCTTTGGAGCCCTTAAACCTGTCCTCTATCCTGGGTCTGCCCGTTTCCGTCTTTTCAAGTATGTTTCGTTCTAAAACCCTAAACCCTCTAAGGTGTCTTCCTTTGGGGTTTCTCTAGACATCTCGCTTTTACTTTTCGGGTTTGACTGAAATTAGGCTCCTCCTTCACTCTTATCTGCCATGGGGCTGTTTGGTTTATCTGGCTAGCTAGGGTAGTGCGGCTAGTGCCCGTGTTATCTACTGTTTTTTGCTTTTTGTTCTGTAAGTTGTTATTCCGTCTTCTGTATACTATGCTTGGCTAGTTAGAGTTGGGAAAGGGTGCCCTCTTCTTCCTCTGTAATGTCTAAGGTATTACATGTGTTCTTGTGCGATCTGGGAGTCCTCCCATAATGTGAATACAATTTCCTTCCCTTTTAGTTTTCCTATCTTTCCGTTGGCCAGAACTAGGTCTTCAAATCTTAGTCTGTGTTCTATTGCTTTGTCTTCCTCTTTTTCCATTTTTAGTTTTTTTTTTTCTTTCCATTGTATGCGGTATTCTGTTTCTATCTATGTTTGGATGGAGGGCCAAGCTTCTCTTGTGGGCATTGGTGTCTTGCCCAAGGTTTCCTTACACCGTTTTTTCCATATGTTCCATAAAAGGGCTTTTCGTAGGCTCCCACAGAGAAGGGATTCGGTGAGGGACCATGAGCCAGACTCTTCCTGTCCTGTCAACCAAAACAGAGGGTCATCTAGGAATGTGGTGATTTGTGACTCTCCGCCATACAACTTCGGCCAGCTTCCATAATTGTTTTACTCTTTGGCAGAGAAGGAAGCAATGGAGAATGTCCTCTTTCTTGCAGTTGGCACATAGTTCATTCAGGGGGTTTCTATCTTGCATTCTTCGTCTGGGATTGAGCCATACGTTTGTTGGGACCGCGAGATACCAGATTAGCCACTAGAGGCTCCTGAAGCCTAGTGGTTCCCCATGGAATGTTCGTGACGTGTTTGGGATCCACTTCTAGGTGTTTCCACTATCGTCTGGCTATTACTGTGTCAGATGGTTCCGACCTTTTCCTCTGTCTGTGCCCTAATCTCATAGTATAGTCCAATAGGTTGGCTCTACGACTCAGTCTTAGCCTTCCTTGTCTGAGATTCCAGGCCCATTCTGTTGGATCTACTTCTAGGTCATGTAATGGGGTCAGAGGGTGATAGATGGTTAGGGATTCTTGCTCCACTACTCTTAGTTTTCTTAGCAAATCTCGTTCCATTACTACTTGGGATTCTGGTTTGTTTGACAGGTTACATAAGTCTGTTCCTGGACCCCTTATTTCGTGGGACGGGAAGCGAAGCCAATTGGATCTGTCGTCCTCTATGTCCTCATAGTGGAAGGCTTGGAGTGGTATTTCAGAGTCTTTGAGTACCGCCCATTCGTCGGGCTTCCATAGAAAGTCTTTCCGTAGTAACTCGGAACGATTTTTTATTATTATTTTTTTTTCAAGGCCCTTGTGCAAAGCCACTATCCTAGTGGTGATAAGAGCACCACCGGAATTGAGGCTTTGCCTAGTGGGCCGCTCCATCTGTTGGTGGGGAGCCTCAACTACTGGAAATCGGGTCCAGCATCCCACAAATACATCTTTGAGTACAATGGTTCATGTGTGTCGTTATTGGAAGCATAGGGACCTGCCAACATTAATTGCCCTGAAATCCAGGGGATTGACTGCACTGGGTCTGTATGTGAACAGTAGACGTCGATGGCCTGGGAGAACTAAAAAATCAACAGACAAAAACACCAGATGCCCAAAAAAAAAAAAAAAAGGACCATTCCTGCGGTATTGAGTTATGTATTGCTTGTAGGTTCCTTGCCAGGTCATGACAACCTTTTAGTTTCTGTCTTAGTTGTGCTTCTGTCATCCACTCGCTTGATGTGTCATTCCAGTTGCCCCATTTGGTATCTTTAGAGGTTAGGGTGAAGGGTATCCCTTCCGGGTTTACTTTGTCTGGATTGCACAAGAGGGGTTGTCTTAGTACTTCTTCTTTGTTGGTGGGTCTTATTAGCTTTGCAGGGAAGATTTCCTTCCATGCTTTATATTGTTCCTGCCAGAAGATTAGGCGTGAATTGAGTCTTGATGTAGACCTCGCTGTTATTGTTATTTTCATGGTCCAGGATTTGCTCGTTATCCAGAAGGAACCTGTCATATTGTCTTGCGAGGTGAAGGCTGGCACTGCCTGGCAGTTGTCTAAATCTTTCTAGGGCTAGCGGCCTCCATGGGAGGCTCGGACGAGAGATTAGTTTAAGGATCCATTTCACTTGTAAGGCCTTAATTTTCCGTGGAGGGTCAGTGATTCCCAGACCTCCTTCGTGTTTCTTGGTTGTGACATGTTGCCAGGCTACCTTACAGATGAAGTTGGTTTTGGCCAGGTTTCTGGTCCACAGGTAGGCCGAAGCCTTCCTCTTTAGTACTTTAAGAGCGCCTTCTCCTGGGGTCCAGAAAGCTGCTATGTACCACATCATAGAAAAGACTGAAGCATTGAGTACTAGCGCTCTTCCGTATAAGGAGGCGTGGACCTTCATCCAGTCGTCTAGTCTGTCAGTCATTTTAGCTAGCAGGTTGGCCACCATGTTGTTTATTGTGTCCTGGTCTGATGCCTAAAAACCGCAAGGGGTCGCTTAATTCAGTCCACAGTAGGCCCTTCGGGGGGGAGGGTGGTTTGTCTATTGTTCCCTCTGCCAGCCACCAACCTATCGTCTTTTGCTAGTTGACTTCCATTTCAGATGCTAACTGAAATGCCTGCATGGTTCTTGTGAGGGCTTCAAAGGATGAGTTAGATGCTCTGATTAATACGGTCAGATCATCTGCAAATAGGATTGTGGTGGGTATTAGTGCGTGTTGGTTTACTCCTGGGTGCTCTTCTAAGAGTCTGTGTATGGATGGGTATTTTCTTAGGAAGGATGCAATTGCCTCCATTATGAAAAGAAAGATGGGGGCTGCGAGCGGGTCTCCTTGTTTGACAAATCTGGACATACGACATGTATTGAATATGTGGCCTTTAACTTGTACCGCCCCATGTGCGTCGTTGTAGAGTACTCTGACCCATTTGCGGAATGTCGGGCCCACTCCCTAACAACCAGATAAACTAATAGTAGGGGCTGCCAAAGTACCGAAAAGAAGAGGAATGCATACATCAGGCAATCATTCATGGCGATGGTGATGTACAACAATCAGTGACATAAGATCTCGTTCCACAACCTCCTATCACTTAGACCTACACAGCAACTGAATTTAAGACACTCTAGCCCAAATCATTGACTTTTACCTCCAGGTGTTGACCTTGACTTCCTACCGGGTTGTGAGGTTTCCACTACAACCAGCAATTTTAGGACTGTCAGCAACGTCCTCAAGAGTTCTTTAACGTCGCAATACGACAAACGTGGCTTCAGTGAGGGACTTGTTCCCTTCTCAAGAACGGCCCCTTGCTGAGTCGCACTGTTCGCTCGCATGCCGGCCAGTACTGATCTTAGGGTTAGCCGGGTTGTTTAATAAGCGTCTGTCACTGGATGCCCCTGCTTGCTACTTTACGTGGTCGCCTACCAGTTGTCCAGCCCTACCTATCTGCAGCATGCAACCTGATGACGACCTAGTCCTAATTGATAGCAACAGAAATTGACAGTTGCATATCCAAGCAGACCGATACTTCCAGAAATCGCAAAATGACGATGAAGCATACAAGGTTGGGGTTCGGAAGCGCTTTGATGTCGATGAAGATTCTCCTTGGCACTCCATGCTCGAATCACAGGTACGTGTCCCCTCACCTTTGCCACTTCTTCAACGATCCTCCCTTCTAGTTCCTTGCCACCGTCACTCGGGTCAACGCTTGCCCACCTTTTACCAACTCCACTGGCTTCAGGTCAAATGCCACTCGGAAGACAAAGAGAGTCTGCTCTGATACCACTGCAATGGGACCACCATGCATGAACACTGGGACACAGATCCCACACCACGCCGCACTCGTAGCTGTTGCACAAATTCCAAAAGAGTCTTAATGGTCCACATAAACTTGGTTGTCTTCTTTGTCACCAGTGGCTATGGCTGCTCAACTCAGCATGCAGATAAGTCTCTCTCTCTCTTTGCTCTCTCACTTCTCTCTCTCTCACTCTCACCTCACAGGTCACTCTGATCACTCTCTCAACGACCCTCAGTGAAGCTCTCTCTCTCTCTCTCTCTCTCTCTCTCTCTCTCTCTCTCTCTCTCTCTCTCTCTCTCTCTCTCTCACTCACACACACACACACACACACACACACACACACACACACACACACACACACACACACAGAGTGGCCTCTCCAACGCACAAGACCGCAGCAGCACTGCCGCATTGAGTGCAAAGTACATGGTGTCCATGTCTACGTGCTGCTGGAGTTTTTTACTTGCTGATCCGCCTTCCAGAAATATAGAACTATCAAAAAAAGAATATAAAGAAGATCTTCTTTATATTCTAAATTAGAGATTAGATATATAAGCCTTCCTCCTTCGTGTCGCCACGAAGTTCAGACTATATCATCATCCCAAGCAGGGATGTCTGGCGTGTAGTCGTTGAGGGGCGCAGCGCATGTATCAACACAGTTCCAATGGCCAAGGAAGTTCCTTTGCAAGTTTGCACCCTTCAGGGGTAGGCCTCGTCCAAAGGGACGACCTTTAGCCTGCCAAACAATGGCAGGGAGGTAGAAAACCCCCAACTGACTAATGAAGTTAGCCTAGACCGAGGACAGAACACTGCAGCAAAGGCTACAATGACCTATGTCCACTGTTGATATAGTTCTGTCATTGAAAAAGGATACAGAGCCACAGAGCAAAGGAGGGGTTCAGAGATGAATTCTCAGCAGGAGTGAGTCAGGGATAAATGCCACCAAGTTGCACCAACATAATTTCCCTTCGGAAATTCGTTTGCTTTGTTTGTTGACATGGCTAAAGAGTTATCACCTTGTATATTATTTTTAGATGATGCTGATTTTCTTCATAAAAACATCTATACATTTTCTCAATTCCATGTTTTAATTAACAATTATTTGAAAGAAATATATAGTTTTAATAGAAAAAATATTCAATTGCGTGTTGCATTGATTATGAGTTTGGGGCTCGTTGGCATCGTTGGTTTTCTGCCCGACAAGTATTTTCTTTATTACAAAGAGAAAATAAATCTTTACATGACAGATAGATAAAAGGCATATAACTAGCTTCAACAATAACATTTAAAAAAGCATATCCACTCATTGCAGGTGAACCTATTATCATCAAGCTATTAGAATTATCAAAAATAGATCTATTATAATTTTCAATTCAAAGTACTTTCATTTGATTTGTTGTGTAATTGCAATATAAATATTATTGTATATTGATTATATATGATTATATATGTTGTAATCATCAATATTTTTGATGATTACAACATATTCTGATTATTATTATATATTATTATTTATCTTAATACTGCCCATGTGTGACATAGATCCTGGGAGTCTGAGGGGCCCGACTATTGCGTTAGGGCCCCTTACATATCACACTGCTAACCTCAATAGTCTTGGAGTTTACTGAAAAGACTGGCGAATCTACTTAGTCGAGAAGCGGACAGCTTAACCATTTTGAAAGGATTCACAGATCTCAGTACCCCTGGTTCAGTTCCGAGTCCCAGTCCCAGGTCCCAGGTCCTAGTCCCAAGTCTCAGGTCCTAGTCCCAACTCCCCATCCCAGTCCGGAGTCCCAGGTCCCAGTCCCAAGTTCCAGGTCAAGGTCCCGAGTCCCATTCTGTGTTCCATTAGTACGACTGCAGAGGCCTAGGCAGGCTAGTGAAGAAGATCATGGTAGGAAGTCCAGTTATGGGTTGAAGTCTTCCCTTAGAAGGCACCACAAACCTTAGCCAAGAGCACAAGTGTCCTCCCCCCCCCCTCCCTCCCCCCCCCCCCCTCTCTCTCTCTCTCTCTCTCTCTCTCTCTCTCTCTCTCTCTCTCTCTCTCTCTCTCTCTCTCTCACACACACACACACACACACACACACACACACACACACACACACACACACACACACTCAGAGTGGGTGAAATCCACCCACTAAAACTCTCTCCCATCAGCACCATTTTCAATCATGGCAAACCTCTAAGCCAACACTACCATACACAGGGCTTGCATAAGACTGGTATTTTGACAAGTCAGTCAAGAGGGAACAAAGCCGGGGCGGAGATGGAATGAAGACCGATACAAAACAAGAAGACATCCTTAGCAGTCATACTACCTGGGTGAGTCTATCAATGAGGCTCCCCTTAAATGGCTGCAATTGGTTCACCTGCACCAAGACAAGTCGTAAACATTGTCATGACAATTCAGAATGATATTTGCCTTAACCTGATGACACGTGAAGTTTGCGCAATCGGAAGGGTTCCTTGCAGGCTCAGGTGCAATTGGTTTCCTAGCATGAACACAAGGTGCAAACATCATCGGAGCAAGGTCAGAATTTTGATTTACGATTAACTCAAATCATTCCGGCGTCGCGCCTACTTCACCGCCTCGTTAACACTTGCAGGCTCATGGATGTCAAGAAATCAACTTGTTGCAGCGTTCACAGACAATGTTATCTGTCTGACACGTGTAGACACTCCTTTATGACCAACTTGGTGCTCACCTACATATACCACACATCCAGGAGGATGCGGGAATGCCATGTACTATTGACTGTATGTCAGTGTATGCTGCACATATGTAGTTATTGGTTAATCAATCAACGGCTCAAATCCTGATGCAGTAATCTTAGGGCTACCTGTCATATGCTGGGTTGAAGGAAAGTGGTTTAGAAATTAGAATACATGTCGCGGACATCTCCAGAAACTCGCAATTCCAAACGTCAACGTCTCACATGCAACGGCAACAACAGTATTCTAAAGTCAGCAGCATTGATGGGACTCAACTTTCCAGACTCTTTTTTTTTTTTTTTTTTTTTTATATTATTTGGACCATCTCTTGATTTATGTGTGTCATCCTTGCACAGGGGCCATGATAATCTTCTGAGCATCGTTCCAATTTTAACGGATCTTGACACAGAATCAAGGAACACAAAACGACTGCCAGCAACCAAAGCAGGCCTTTTTGTTTTTTTGTACGTGGTATTTTCAAAAAAGAAACTCCGTTCTCGTGCCGACGGCTAGCGTGCAACAGAGCGCAGCGCTAATTCGCGCTAGCGTCCGTCCCCAGGCCCGTCGGGAGTACGCTCGCAGGACCTCGTTTCCCGAGCCGCCGGCTTGCCGGCTCCCACCAATGCACACTGCGCCTCGAATCTTTGCACCCGCCGCATTTCGATTTTCAAAAATGGGCGGCAAGCCGCCATCGCCAGCCAATCAACAAGGTAGCTTGCGCTTCGAGCGCGAGCGCACCGCACCATCTCCAAACGAAGCCGCCTCATCTTCTCGGGTCGTAGCAAGTAGCCTTCATCGCCATTCAAGGAAGATCCCAAGGACAACCCGGCTCACGCCCCCGCGTGCGAGCAATGGGAAGCCTCCAGAATCTTCAAGTATCACAATAGCCCAGCATCCGGCCTCTACTCGAGGAGCAGAAGAGACGGACTGTCATCTGCATAGCGGACATTCACGAGCGCTTGAGGGACACTACCAAGTGAAGAACAACTAACAGCGAATCTCATACCAACCCCCCACCTTCCAAGCTTTTTCGCCTCCCACTCTCTCTCCCCCCCACCTCTCCTCCCCCTCCGTTCAATCCAAGGCTGGGCCGGCAACCGGCCGGTTCACCTCCCCCGGTCCACCCGGATCCGGACCAGCCCAGGGGGGATGAACCGGAAAACCGGTTTTCAAAAAAAATGCCTAGGATTTTTCGTTTTTTTTTTTTTTTGGTCAGCAGATTCGGACTGCGCTCTTCGAGATCTGTCCAAATCCGCAATAAAATTTGGAAGGTGCGAATTTTTTTTGGGGGGGGGGGGGGGGCATACTATCGGGTGGGGCCAGGGAGTCCGAGGATGGCCTTTACGTGGAGGGGTCAAGAAAACTACTTTACTTGACCCCTCCGTGGCCTTTCAAATTTCAATTCGACCATATACCTCTTTATTGGTTTATGCCATCAGGTATTGGTATGCTAGAGGTCGAACGACATATGCTGTTGCGAGGTGCTTGCCCAAACTTATAGCTCTTCCGGAAACCGAGCTCTAAACTGGAAAAGTTATGGGTTGAGGTTTCCGCTCCTGCAGGCAGAGAGCTTCCTTTTGTTTTTCCCTTATATGTAGAGTCATCAGTCCACTTTCCTTTTGTTTTTCCTTTATACAGTGGGTCATCAGTCCGAATTTCTCCGAGAGTATTTCGCCTCGTGCGCTGTCCAGATACATGGAGCAAGGTTCATTCTTGGGCTTGCACCTCGGACTGCTGCTCTGATTTTACGAGCAGAAACTTCAACCCATAACTTTTTCCCCACAGAATAGGGATGTCTGAGAAGCATATAAACACAGCAAAGCCTAGGCTAAATCATGCTGGTTCTATCCTCCTCTGCACTTCGGTGGAGGATGAACACCTGCCTACTGTAGCGGGTTTGTGGTCTCTTAGACTGCAGTATCAATCTGAAACTAGTAAAATCCATATAGAAACAAGACCCCGTGTTTAGACGAAAACATGTGGAAGTGGGGTTCAAAAGGCCCTGTTTACTGTTTCGAAGAGGACACTAGCCTCCCAAGCGCTCGGCAAATGCAGTAACGCCCATCGATCCCCAGTACCCCCCCCCCCCAGCATGATGCGCTGGGCTCGATCGGGGGCCTGCCGGGCCGGTCGACTGGCCGGTCCGACCGGCAGGCTCCCGGTTGGGGGAAGGGCCCCCGGTCCAACCGGGGACCAGCACTGGTTCAATCTGCCATCACCCCCCTCCCTTCTTCCTCCCCTCTTCCTCCATAGATCCTAATCTCGAATACTTCCCCGCCATCCCTAACGCACATCCACCCAATCTTCGATCCAACCCAGCAAAGATTCTGCGAATACCCTCCTCCCCATCCCGCCACTTCCTGCCCCCTCCTACCATCCCCCCCCCCCCCCCCCCCCCCCCCCCCTCATTACTCTCTATCCCCATTTGGAACACGCTTTCTACTGCCCGGCCTTATTCCTCACCCACGAACCTCTCTCTTCCCCTCCCCCCCTCCTCCCACCTCCTTCCTTCCCCGACAGTACTATTATCCTTAAGCTCTGACCAACGCCCCCTGTACCCAACACACACCCGCCATCAACACCAACCCCTCCACCACCTTCGTGCCCCTTCCTAATCACACCTAAACCTCCACTCACACCTCCCACGAAACCCCACGGAGCTTCACGATACCGCCTACAAAATACCCCCCCCTTGACCAGGCCCCCGAACTCTACTACAACCTTCTTACCCCGAATACAACGTACGGTCATTATAGCTGTATCTAGACTGAAAGATGCCTCAAATGCAGCTATAATGACCGTACGTTGTATTCGGGGGAAGAAGGTAGCTCACCCCTCCCTCGCTGATTCCCCTCCTCAACCCATTCGCCATCCTCCTAGCTCTACCCAGACCGCCCAAGGAAAATAATCAACAAGTAATCAAAATAACAAACGCACTTCCACTAGTCTCGCCCCCCGGGAGAATCCAATAGATTAACGTCCTGCAGGGAATCAAACAAGTACAGCGAAACAGAAAGGCAAAAAACAAAACAAGGGCAAAAGGTCTAAAAGGAAAAACAAAAGGAACCAAAAAAAAAGGTGTTACGATCCTGGTCATTTCACAAGTGCAAATTCACAATGAAAGACAATGCCACCCAGTTGCGAAAGAAATGAAAGCACTTGCAAAGAGATAAAGACCAGAGGAGAGAGAAAGAAGAAGAAGAAGAAGAAGAAGAAGAAGAAGAAGAAGAAGTACACCAGCAAGACCAATGACAATTCCCCCTTCTCTCTCCACCTTCCTCCTCCTCCTTCACTTCACCAATCTTATTCTTCCCTCAATAATAATAATAACAATGAATGGAAGAACCAGAATCAATATCCGAAGTTCCCTCTTACTGCGGACTCAACTCAACAACAACAACAACAACAACAACAACAACAACAACCAGTCCACCATAGCTATGGCTTCCCTCCTTCAGCCTCCTCTCTCATGCATAGGCTATGGCGGACTACTCGAAGCAGCTAGGGTGCTGCGCTGATGTCCAAAGGACAACTCAAGCAGCTATGGTGCTGCGCTGATGTCCAAAGGACAACGCAGACCAGCTATGCCGCTGCTGACTTGGTCCGCTATGCCTGACTCTGCCTCGAGCTTCCCTGGTGCCGCACTACCCCAACTGGGGCCTTCCAGATGCAGCGCCCAACAAGGTGATGAAGATGGTGTCTTCCATAGCGAGGTAAGTGCCCCGCCACTCTCCTACCATGCCCCCTTCTTCCTCCTCCTCAAGCTGGACTGCTCGCCATAGCCAGGCTGAGCTCCAGCGGCCCTTCACCTCCAAGCAGCGCTGTACCAGTCCAGCGCTGCGCTCCAGCAGCATGTCGCCAATCCTTGCACACCGCAAATGAGGAAGAGCTTTTTGCTCTTCCTGGAGATATAGCGGCCTACCGGCCTCCTGGGCGGTGACTTCCTAGGCCGAGCGGCCTCCCAGCAACCGGTACCTCCTCCCTTTCGGAGGGAAACATCATTGCAGGCTCTGCTATCCTCCCTATAGGCCCTAGACCCGGGCTACTTGGACTGGTACCGGCCTACCGCTATCCTACCGCTACTGGGCCTCTAAAAATGCCAACTTTTTGTCTTCTTCTGCTCGGCCTCCAGTACCCGACACCCCTACCACTACTTGAGTGGTACCGGCCTACCTGCTACTTGAGTGTTTTTCCCCGTTGTTCTAAGTGTTGCGGGCCTACCCCCGCTACTTGAGTGTTTTCCCCCCTGCAACACTCAAAGTCACGGCCACAGGTAAGTACCGGCCCTGCGGGGCCCTTCAACCAACAAGTACCCTTGTGGGTCATACACACACTCAACCGTCAAGCACTCAGACAGGCATGCAAACCAGCAGGCACGCACACACACATACATGGAAATCACAGCAGAATGCGGGAATTTCAGCAAGGCATTCATTCCAGCGGCAAATCCCAGAAATCAGTAGTGTTCTCAGTCTGTGTTTTTGGCGGGTCATTACATTACCCCCCTCTCAAGAGCGAGGTCCCTTCGAGCAAGTAACTCAATCATAGTTGGCACAGAATGCATCGTAGGAGTAAATCAGAAAGAGAGACTTAGTAAGTCCGTGAGGAGTCATTTCTGCAACGAATTTAGCAGTCTGTCCCTCACGGATCTGTCATTCATAAACGTTCACAACACGGGGAACACTCTTTAGCAGCTCTTTTCGGTCGATCCAGAAAAATTCAGTCAACGGGTGATAGAGGAAGTGAACCTTGTACTGTCTGTTCCTCCCTCTTCCCTCGTGAGAAACGATTTGGTCTATCTCATGGCCGCCGTCGATAGGGCGAGGTATCATAGGGTCTCGAAAGGGAAACGTCTCATCATCAATATGTGGAAACAGTTTGGACGCATGAAAGACCGGATACGTGCGCAGATGAGGAGGCACGTCAATCACATATGAAGGACCAAAATCATCCCCAATCACCTTGAGGTGCAGCTGCGCCTCCTTGAGGACCTGCAAAACTTCCTTAAGGTGGTTGAGGTGCTCTTCTATGGTTTTACTGAAGATCAGGATATCGTCAAGGTACACAACCACAAACCAGTTGAGCTGACGGCGAAGTACCTTGTCCATGAGGCACTGAAATGTGGCCGGTGCATTCGTAAGACCGAAGGGCATAACGATGAACTCGTACAGCCCATCGCGTGTTTTGAATGCAGTATTGTGCTGGTCACTCGGATCAACTTCAATCTGGTGGTAACAAGATTTGAGGTCGATCTTGGAGAAGACCTTGCACCCACCTGCCGCGTCTAGCAGATCATCTATGCGAGGCAAAGGGTAAACATTCTTTCTTGTGTTCCGATTAAGGCCACGATAGTCAATACACATCCGGAGTTTGCCTCCTTTCTTTGGCACAAACAGGACAGGTGCACCGAACTCAGACTCACTGGGCCTAATCCATCCACGATCAATCATATCATCAATCTGCCTTCTCAACTCCTCCAACTCGCCTTGTCCCATACGGTAGACGCAGCCCTTTGGAGGAACACTCGCCTCTATTATCTCGATTTTGTGTTTGACCGGACGCTCGGGAACTCCACGAGGTTCGGCCAAAACTTTAGGGAATCGATCTAATAGCTGGCGAATGTTTCTTGGGACTTCCGGTGGAGGATCATCCTCATCAGGAGAAAGGAAATCAGTTCGAGAATTTACAGCAATTACAACCGGATTTGAAGTATTTGGATCAAAAGTAGAGGGATTATTCACAGTAGAAGTAGATGGATTAGAAGCAGAGGTGGTAGAAGTAGAGTTACTTACCAAGGTAGAAAACGCAGCAAAAGTAGAAGGCACATGAATAGGCTTTACAAAAGCTACATGTACATGCTCAATCTCCTTGCGCCTGCGCACTGATTTGCAGAATTTGGTTGCACTTAGAAGAGTCACAGGGGACTCGCGCGCCTCATCCAATAGGACGGTACGCTCGTTCCCCTTGGCATCACGCACCACGAACTGATTGTCCGCCCATGTGGTCCTTAGGCAATGAGCCTTTAACCAGCCCAAGCCAATGACCGCGTCGAACGGACACTTGTCCATGACATAGAAGTTAAGCTCATGTGTGACAGTGCGGTCCTTGTCAAAGGTGACGCGCACACCTTTGACAACATGTGTAGAGGTGACAAACTCTTGGTTGCCCACTTGGGTCTGACAAGGGTTCTGCAGTTCCACTTGCTTCATTCCCAGGCCCGCCTTACGAATCCCGTTAAGAGAAAAGAAGTTAGTGGTTGAGCCACTATCGATCAGCACGCGGATGTATCGGCGGTTAATGAGCAGTTTAAAGAAGGTTAGCTCCACACTCCCTTGAACACGGCGTTGCTGCTTGAGCTGCAGTCAGTGTTCCATGTGAGCGTGGAAGTCAACTTCCTTAGACTCCTCCCAAGGCTCAGTGTAAAGCACATGAATTGCAGCAGCTTTGGAATCAGCGTCGTTTCGGGCTTCAAGAGTAGGCTGTTGATCAGATTCAGGCTCATTAGAGGGGCCTGCAACTGATGTTTCAGCTTCCCTTGTTGTAGGGAGTGTTGATGACTCCTCTATGCCCTTTGCTTGTTTCCCTGCAATCTATAACAGTCCTGCACAGCATGCCCAAGCTTTTGACAATGCAGGCATATGTCCCAGTTTAGATCTTCTTTCCCATTCCTTTTGACTGATTCGGAGGGCCTCCCAAGGCTTGGTAGATGCATCCTCCGGTTTCTCAAAGATCTTCGCATTCTTTGGGAGGTGGACAACAGTTACCTTACCTGAACCACGGTTGGGCCCCTTGTTCGAAGCATTCTTTCTAAAAGCATTCAGTTTTTCATCCTCGTTGACGTCAGACTCAATGGCTGATGTGGAACAACACATATCGGAGTCCGGCTCTAGATCGTCATCTAGAGACAAATCATCCACATAGGACTGATCTTCAGCCTCCCGATGATCATGCAGTGCAAGCTGGTTGCTGCTTCCAAACCGCTTGCGTTGTGGTTTCCCACCTGCAGTGGGCGCCTTCTTCCGCCTGGCGAGGTCCTTGGCCTTTAGGTTGACTAGATCCGTCATGAGCTCTCTCCAGGTGGTATGGTCTTTGAGTGCCAACAGGGAGAGTTATTCTTTAGGGGCCACTCCCATGACTACATCCATACAAGACACATCAGTCATTCCCAGGTCTGGAGTAGTGAACAGACCAGTCAAGTATTGTTCCAAAGCTTGCATGGAGGACCTCCATGTTTGACCCTTGAGGGCCTCAAGCTTCAGCCTAGCCTTGAGTGCAACATGCTTGTCTTGGTATCGTGCGATGAGAAGGTCCTCAAGGGTGCGTACAGAGGTTACCTTCAGCCACTCAGTCAGGTCAATTCGTTCATAACCTGCAGCAACAACTTGGAGCTCAATGTAATTCCGTACGACGGGCTCAGTATTAGTCCCCATGATCATACTTCGGTCCTCTTGTGGTGTCCGCATGACCTCGAAGTATGACCGCATGGAACTAATCCAAGAGGTGATGTCCGCTTTCCCGTCGTACTTGGACGGCAGAGTGGCCGCCCGCTTGTCCACCATGGGACCGTTGTACTGAACGCCAGTAGGGACTGTGGCGTTTTGGGCTGATGTCATCGCATTTGGGACTATGACTAGTGCAGAACTGCCGGCGCTGCCGCTCAAGGAGCTGGCACCGGATCCTGCACTCGTCACAGTTCCACTTGCCCTTGTCATGAGGACTGTGTTGGGTTGAGAGACTGGGACTGCCGCAGGTCGAGGGTTAGGAGGGCGGGGGGCAGACAGTTGGGACTGTTTGAGGCTGATTATCTCAGCCTGCAGCTCTTGGTTTCGCTGCTCTAGTGCTGTCACACGGGACTCAAGGTTTTCCAAGGTCCGCAGTCGAACCAAGGCTGCTATGGCAGCAGCTAGTTCCTCCTGGAACCGGTCAGCATTGGCTTCCGGGATCCGAAGGAGAGCCACCTGATCAGCAATGTTGGCAGCTCTGGCTGCTGCCTCTGCCTCCCTTTCCCTCTGCACTGCATCATCATACAACTTCTGAAAGAACGGCTTCCCGGCCTCGTCCGCTGCGTCCAGCATGGCCTGCCATTGTGCAGATGTGATGTCTGCCATGCCCGAGGAAGGGGTGTCAGGAAAACGGTACGGATGGGTGGAGGGAGAGAACGATTGAGCGGACAAGAGGAATCCACACAAGGTAACTACCTGCACAAGAGGAGCATCAACAAAAAGGAGTAAGGGATCTCCTTATCCTACGAAACCCCAAAGACCATCATCAAAGGTGAAATCTATACCTTCTTATACCTCCAAACGGTAAAGGTAAGTCCAAACTACAAAACCACCCTTGATCCTCGGATCGAATCTTCCCAAGCTCTTCAATCCTCCTCTGTCATGAACAAACTTCTCACGGGACGCTGACCTGCCCAAGCCTTCGGAAATTCCTCAAAGGCAATGAAAATGCCACCGGGTTAAAATTCCAAGCCGTATTCACGTGGAAAACAAGCACAGGAGATCAAAGCCCTCTATCGCAGCATAGCATTTCGACCCGTTGCGAAGGGTCGGAAATAAGACGGGGTAAAGAAAGGAGAGGAGGCCAAAATAATAAGGAATCGCAGGAATTTCGAAAACAGACAGAGAAGGGCAGGACACCGGAGTGAAGGGCGAGTACGGACCAGAGGGATCTTACACGAGTGAGAGGGAAGGAGCGACGGGAGAAGCAAGCAACGAGAGAAAAGGACATATAAGGAAAGGGAAAGGACAATTAATGGTAACAGTGATCCTAGAGGGGAAATAGACACAAACAGAGGAACGAAGGTGTGAGCAGAGGCGTGAGAGAGAGAAGACAGGAGAAGGACGGAAAGTTAAGGAGCGCGGACACATCGAGAGAAAGAGCTAGGGCTGAAAACAGCCAGATATTATTTATTCTTTAATAAATCCAGTATTAATACCATTATTATTCTACAATATTTATTTTCAGTATTATTACCATTATTATTCTATAATATTTATTGTTGCTATTATTCAGCCTCCACCACAATTGTTAGCTCTCACCGTCTCATTATTCTGGTATCTTTGCCAAAGTCGATCCCCAAGCGGGGAGGCCAACCTCTACCAAAATTTTGTCAAATTCCAGCATAGGCCCAATCCGGTCCTATTGGGCCGAACTCCGCCACTGACTCTTTCGGCAGTATCAATTCCTAGGAGTGGAAGCTCTAAACTTTCTTTTCCCTCATTTGTTAAAAGAACATACCCTGCCATCGGTCCGCTTCCCCCTCGCCATCTCCTCAGACAAAGCCATTATTCCTAAAGTCGATCCCCAAGTGAGGAGGCTAACCTCTACCAAAATTCACCCCTTTTCCTACCCTCCCAGCTCACGCAACCCCCCACCCAACAATTCCATCTTTCCCACCCTCTTGAGCGCCCACATCCCCAAATCACAGCGCGCGCTGACCGATGCCCACTCCGAATCCCACACGTCCTGCAACTCCCCGACACGCCGATCGTCCCACGACTTATGCCCCACCCCCCTAAAGGACACTCCCCAAGACAGTGAACAAGAAGAAACCAACCCGTCCACATCACTCTGCTCCACGTCCAACCTGCCTCGCGGTCAAACACCACAATGACGCACTCTCACGTTGCAACGCCGGTGCCAACCTTAACCTCTGGACCAAACTCAATCACAGGTTCCCCCCCAGGATCAGCATCTGGACATGCCTCAGGCTCAGACTCAGGATTTGCCTCGAGCACAGCCAAAGGACACACCTCAACAACGGACTCAAGAAAAATGTGCTTCCAAAACGAACAAGACCCAAGTTAGGAAGTGCTCAACTTGATGATCAAAGAGACAAGAATCAAACCAGTAATTTCAAACGAAATCCCGAAAATCGGCAAGGAAGAGGAAGCGGAGGTGGAAGTTTGGGAATACCCAAAGGAACAACTCCCAGTGCTTGATAAGTTCTATGAATCTCATGCAGTCGCCTGCTCATTCCCAGCTAAACTAAAGCATCTACCACCCACGGAAAAAAGGAGGAGGATCCGTGAAGCACTACAGAGCATAGAAAGCCTGAGAACCACTGAACCCAAAGTTGCCTACCAACAGAGAGGAAGGAACCCAGTCACAGTATTATCCGCCTACCCAGATTACACCACGTACCTGGTATCGATTCAAGCTCTGTATTGCGAGGGTTCAGTCGTTTCTATCAACAAACGAAGACCCAACAGATCAGCACCATAGGGGTCTTCAAGACACAGGCAATCGCTGATGTTCAAGCATTTCTGGATCGAATTTGACAATCTAACGGACGGTGTGCATCGCATCGTGGAAGACAGACTAAAAGATTCCCACCCCCAATGCCCCCTGGTTGAGTGGGTTTCCTCAACACCCGACTTCCTAACTCCAAGCACCAACTCTAGAATAGTTTGTGTCGAGCTCAAAGCAAGCAACCCTCCTGACCTTCCTGACAAATGGTTCTTCAGGATAGGTCAACAGATCCAAACTGTATACATCTCCATGAAAGCGAATCCCATGTGCTTCAGATGCTGAATCAAAGGACACATGGGAAACGATCCTCACTGCCCCCTGAACAACAGAAAGGGAGATGGAAAAGGACTGCACCCCTCGATGTTGGTTGAAGCAGAAACATTGAAGGGCACTGGATCATCAATGACCCAGCCTATGCAGGCTGGGTTTTCGATGACCTCAAGGAAATCCCAGCTTGGATCTGGACTCTGTCAAACTCAGAGCCAACATGCAAACCTGACGTGTTCCCCCCTCATGGGAGCAGATGGCAGATGAATGGAGGGAAAAGGAACGATAGATCCACCCACAAATATGACAACTTCACCTTGGGACACACACTCCACCTTGAATAGACAATGCACAAGAACCAAATCCTGAGCGAAGTACACAGCATGGGGAAAGAAGCAGAAAAATCCTACCTCGAAAATCTGGAGTCTAGAGGCAACCTGGCAGCCAAGAACAGGTCCAAAAGCACCACTGGTCAACCCAAAAGGAAAAACAAAGGAGAGGAGGACGAAGCCAAGGAATCAGACAAATCCCCAATAAAAAAAAAGTGTAGGGAAGGGGACTCCTCATCTGATGACAGTACCAGTGGCATGCACCTAGACATTCCACTCCCAACAAAGACAACAAATGACAACCATGACAGTTCAATGGAGGACGACTCACACAGCACACTAGAATGATTGGACGAGTACATCATTTCGCCGAGATCTCGCCACGACCTGGACTTGGAAATTCGGTTGGCACATGCAAGACACATAAGCAGTCTAAAAGAATCTACCACTGCGAATAACCCTACAGGCTTTCCCACCTTCCCAAACCCCTACGAAACTCGTCAATCTGAAAACAACTTTTCAGAATTTATGGCATCTAAGTACGTGGACAAGAGTGAAGAGGGGATGGAAGCGAACTGGGAGAGACAACCAACCAAACAACCATTTGGCCAGCCTCTTACCTGAATGAAGCCAAAGAGATGACAACTCAAGAGGAGCGGGTTACCAGTAGTCTTGAAGAACAAGGAACACACCTCACTGAAGAGGGGAAGATGAGAGTTCTAGCCATGGAGCTACACAATCAGCCGAAAAAACCTGAAGGAGGAGAAGAGGAGAAAAATCGCAATCCTCGAGAGGCAAACAAGACACCTCGAGGAACAAAACCAGGAACTGGGGAAAATCTTTCCCTCCCTCAAAAGATTGGCAGATGAAAACCCATCAGAACTGGTAGTGGTAGCCAGGATTGATGCCATCACACTCTCCCCTCAGTCCTAATCATGCCTTTTCACTTCAACAAGAAAAAAAGTGGGTGGCAGATCGTGGTCAAACCATCCCTGTCCATTATCACAACCCATGATTCTGTTAAAGTGCCTCCCTTCTTGAGAGCAAATGTTGCAGATCAGCAGCCCTTGCTCATCTACAAGAACTGGCAGGATAAGAGCTTGAACGTGGTATGGGAGGATGAAAAAGACAAATCCCACTTCAGGGACATGAATCCTATCATGGCTATCTACGACCAGCAAGTTGAATTGAGAGACGGTTTGCAATGGAAATCATGGGATCTTATCTGTGAAATCACATACCAACTGTTGGGACAAGAGGAAGAAGTGGACAGAATCGCATACAGTATGGCAGCGTTCATGAGAGAGGAATGGCTGGGAAAGAGCGAGGAGGCCCCTCTGGGTAGGGCAAAGAAGGAAAAGGAGATAAAGGACAAAAGGTTGGCAGAGTTCAAAGCCTCCTAGATCCATTACCAGCCCCAAAGCAGAGATAACTATCTAAACAGATAATGGAAGATCCAGCAGATAGCTTCACCGACAGAGGGGTTGGGCACTGATCAAAGAGACTCAAACCCACTTCCGACGCAAACATTGCAAAAGAAATCAGGAAACAACCTGAACTATCTATCATGTCCTAGAATGTCAACGGTCTGGCCTCCATACTAGACAACCCAGTCAAATGGAGGAACCTAACGGAAACCATGCGATGGTTTGGGCAAAACCCCCCAGACATAACTTGCCTCCAGGAAACACACCTAACCAACAATTAGGAACACAGAAAGATACAACTGGCGATCCTAAAGAAGCTATATCTCGTCAAATCTGCAGTTTGGACTAACGCAACACCGAACGGCTCGGCAGGCACGGTCATAGTATTACACCAGAGATCTCCTCCTAGCAACGACATCGAAGTGCTTTCCACATCACAGGATCACACATCAGGCAGATGGGCCAAAATCGATATCAAACTCAAAGAAGAGAGAATATCAGTCATAGGCATTTACGGACCGAATGCACCGTAGGAAAAAAAACACTTCCTCGTTACCTTAGAACAACTCTTCCCCATCCACAATCACGACATCATAATGGGAGACTGGAACTCGGTCCAAGCCTCGTCACAATCCAATAGTGAGAACCTAAAAGACTTCATCACGAGGAAGAACCTTACTGACCCATACCGTCTCTTATCACCAAACATAAAACGTTTTTCCTATGTTAGGAAAACTACACTAGGAAGAACATCTTTCTCAAGAATTGATTTCTTCCTAACCTCGGAGTCCCTCTCAGGTACCATATTAAGTTGCAACATAATGAGCAACCCCTATCACAAAGGCCTAGACCACAAAGCTATCACCCTCTCCCTGAGGCTTACCAAAACAGAATATACTGGTAAAAACTTGTACTGGT